GCGGCACAGTTAAGGGGCACGCAGGGCTGGGGACAGGACGGGCCACAAGGTCCTGTGGGGCCGGGCAGCGGCGATTAGGAAGAGCCCCGGGGGGTCCTGAAAGCCGGGCCTGGGCAACCTGGGAGGGTGATAAAGAGAGCAAACACCACGGCCCCGGCCCCAGCGCCATGAACGTTCCCATCTCAGCCCTGGCCCTGCAAGGAGCGTAGCCACGCTACCGACTAAGTAGCTCTTAAAACTCTCTGCTGCCCACGGAGGCAGCACGAGTCCCAGTGACAGACACGCACTGGGAGAGAAGTTCAGCCTCGCTGGTAGAGAAGGATGTGTGAATGAAAACCACGTGTCAGTGGTTTTTCTTTCTCATCCACTCCACTGGAAAACTCCTGCGGGCCAGGGAGGAGACGCAGCACTATGAACATGCCACTGCGGGGACACAGGCCTTCCAGGAGGGCGACTTGCCAGATGCTTCAAAACGTGTAACTCGCGTTCAGCATCTTTCATATGAAGGGATTTGTTCTGAGAAACAGTTGGGCAAGTGGGGCAAACCGGCCCTAAGGACGGTGACAACCTGGCTTGGACGCAGGAACCCCTGGGGACATCTGCCCAGAGCGTCCCGCTGGACAGATGTGGGCCGCCCGGGGGGAAGGAGACCCCCGCTCACACACGCTGTCGCCCCGCAGTGTGCACAGGGCTCTGCGAGGCCTCGGCTCCCCCACCTGGCCCCAGGGCCACGGGCTGCAGCCTCAACAGCGCCTGCCCAGCAGTCCAGGCTCTCGCCCGGGGCCCCAAGAACCCACGAGGGTCCTCTGGCTGGTGGCACAGGATCTGCTTAAAACAGACGTCCCGTAAGTGGATTCTCTGGCTGAAGATCCACATGCTTCAGCCTCTGTGACGAAGCTATTGTCACATCAGATACCCACAAGTAACTACTATAAACCGGCAGAAAACAACCGCTACGGTGACAATTCCATCAACGAGGAGAAGGGAGAAGGGGGGCCAGAGAGCGCTGCTGATCAGAGCCAAGACAGGCAGGTCACGGGCCAAGAGCACTGACAGTGACACGTGCCTGCCCAGAGGGCGTGGCCTACGGTGGGTGGTGGGCCCCGTCCTGCCCTGGGGCCTCCCCACACTGGCCCCCGCTCTGGGGCTCACCAGCCCAGGGGTGCTCTGGCCACAGCGAGGAGGCTGGTCCTCAGACCCTCTCTGTGCACTGTGTCGTCTGTGTCCACCCCCCACGCCCTTCCGGCAGACGTCAGGCAGAAACTGCGAGAGAAGCTCCCGCACTCACCTGGGACCCAGTCCTGGGAGGAGGGGACGGAGGAGGAAGGGAATGTGGCGTCGAAATGGGCCGTGAACAGCCAGGAAACGGAAATTACAGATGTGCTGAGCAGGAAACCCTTATAAGGGATCTTATTTACTCAAAATTAAACACTTTAGTTACAATTTAAAGACTACTCCCTTTCAATTATAAAACTCTATTCAAATTCACTGATGACTTAATGACACTAATTAGATTTTGTGTTCAAGAAATCTGTCTGACAAATACCACTGCCAAAATGTCACTAACAATATGACAGCTATGAAGAGAGTTTAAATCATCTAAACAAAAGCTGACTAACATAACGACACAATTGCAGAGTTCAAATGGCTTTTATGATCTCCACTGTAATGGAAAAATAAAATGATTAAAATGTGAAGACAAATGTAACCTCCAGCGTCTTTCTGTGCTGGAGGCCCTGGCCCAGAGACAGCTCCACAGCCACGGATCTGGGGGCTCCAGTCCCCTCTCGGAGGGTCCAGCCCTGGGCCGGGGGGGATGGGGGAGCTCTCCGGGGACCCAGCGTGAGAGGCATGGCCGGCCGGGCCTGCAGGAGGTGAGGCAAGGGCTCCCTCCCAGGTCCTCGCAGGGAAGCAACTCCCCGAGGCACCAGGGAGGGGGGACGAGGGGTGGGACACAGCAGGGGCCACTGGGAACCGACTCAAGTGTCTTTCCGTGTTTCCTACCCCTGGCGACCCCCCCCACCTATGCAGGGTTTATTTCTCAGTTTCTCATCTATTTCTTTCCTGTAAAAGCTATAAATTCAACCAACACAAAGAGAGCATGAACAGTTACGGTCTTCTTCAACTGCGCCCTGTCCGGTGTCCCCCTGCAGGTTTAGGTTAGTCCGGTCACCCATCGGAACACCCCCGGTTGCAGCAGCAGCAGCCGAGGACAGGAGTGTTCAAACGGGCGGTGAAATACAGAAAAATGTCCTCTGCCAGGCTCCCTGGCGGGTCTGCAGGGAGTGACGGGCCCTCACAGCCCCAGGCCCGCCAGGACTGGTGACCGACGGGCGCCAGAGACGTGGAGCAGTGCCCGGGCCGCTGGTGGCCAGGTGCGAAGGCCGCTTCAGAGGACGGGGAAAAGGGCTGTGCTCAGCGGGCTCGGCGAGGGCCGCCAAGGAACAGGCCAGAGGCTGCCGTGGAGACGGGGCCACCAGGCCTGCAGCATCCCCTGGGGCACTCCCTGACCCGCGCCTCGCTAGGCGGGCACCATTTCCTGTGGCCAGGCTGAGACGCTCCCTCCCAGGCCTGACACCAGCCCTAGAGGCGGCCACGCACGGTCAGGGCCTGGCCCATCCACAGCAGGGGCCCCCACCCCTGGCAGGCCCACACCCCAGGGACCACCCCACCGTGTCCCTCCTCTCGTCCCACCAGCCAGGAGGAGTGTCAGGAGAGCAAGGGCCGTGGCACTTGGGGAGCCCTCAGCAGGCTCAGCCCAAGCCCAAGTGCCCGTGTTAAAAAGGACAGGGTCACCGTGGCTGCTGGTGGGCCAATCTCTATGGGGACACGTGGCGTCTTTGCTGCACACGACCCCCAGGTTGCCGAGAATTCTGAAGGCAAAGCCAGTAGAGCCCGGACTTCACACAGCTCAGGAAAGTGTCCTCTCCCTCCTCGGCAACCTGGACGTCAGAAGGCGAGTGAGTAAGGCAAGAAGCAGCAACCCCCTAACCCCCAGCAACAAAAAACAGCAACCAGCCAAATTCCAGACCTGGAGCCCCCAGCGGCTCCCCAGGCGCCCAGTCTCAGGAGGCCGGAGGAAGCTGAGGACAAAGCTCTTGGCTAAACTTTGAAGCACACGAACTCACACAACGTCTTAGCACCCGCGATAGGGGAGCCCATGGAGCTAACGCTGGGCCTGTCCCCGAGGGCCCAGCAGGCTCTGTGACGCGGTCAGCTGGGCAGTGAGCAAGCCCCGGCAGCCTCCCCTGCAACCAGCCACCGCTCCCACAGCAGCACCGATGCCACTCCAGCGCCGCTTCTCCACGTGATCACTAAGTCATGACATCGGACGAGGCGTCTTTTGCACACAGGGAGGGCAGCGGGATTGCTGGCCGGGCAGAAGCAGAGAAGGCTGCACCGGCAATTCTGCATAGCGCCAGGCGGGCACCGTGACACCTGGGTGTGGCTCCTGCCCTGGGAAGCCACGGCTGTGGCTGATCAGCTTCCACACGTGGGCTGCATGAACTCTGGCCACAGAGCGTCTCTGAAGCATCAGGCAACGCAATGTCGCGGCCTTTTAACCCTCTGGTCTGCACTGTCCAATGCAGCAGACCGAAACCCCATAGGACTCAAAACACAGCCCGTCCGGACCAACACGTGTCCTCCGCGTCTAATCCCTGTGGTCTGCTGAGACTCAGGTGAACCACGGAATGCGAAATAGCTCATGAGGAACTTTTCACGCTGTGTACATGTTGAAGTGATGTTTTGGAAATATGCAGTTACATGAAACATAATAAAATCACTTTTACCTTTCGTCAGCCAGGCGCCCAAGGCCCCCAGAAATCCCCGTTTCCAGGTTTTCAACCCTGTCTAGGTCCCTCCCAGGACGTACCAGGCTCGGTCTCTGTGACAGACAGAACAGGGCAGCATGGTACGGGGGTCCCAAGTCCAAGGCTGGGTGCAAAGGACTCCGTGGCTTCCGTCTTGGCCTTGGTCTCTTGGCCACTTACTCTGGGCGCCGGCTGCTGAGCTGCGAGCAGCCCTGTGACGACCCAGAGAGTGAGCTTGGAAGTAGATCCCCGACTGGGCCAGTCACCCCTTCAGACGACCCCCCCGTCCCGACAGCCATCTCGCCTGCAACCCGGCGAGAGACCCGAGCCGGAGCCGAGAGCCAGGCTGCTCCCCGGTCCTGACGCTGGGACAATTTTGTTACACAGCAATAGGTAACTTATGCAACCTGATTTTCATGGCGGTTTATGCTGTGTTTGATGTGGCTCCTAAAACTTTAAAAATTACCTGTGTAATTTTAATACACCCCTGTGTACTCTATTGGACAGTGTCGCTCTATACGGTTCTAACTGCAGTGAGAACACATGATCACACACCGTAACTGGCCTGCCAACTACACAACACAACTGAGCTCCGTGTCACTGATGGCCAGTTTACTTCATCTTAAAATCCGGTATCAGATTAAATATCTGTGGAGAGTAAGCGCCAAAAAAAGGTCTTCATTAGTTTTTACCTATTCAATTTAAATTAAAACAAAATGTCTTTTTTCAATTATAAAAGGTTAATGGGAAAAACTGAGAAAAGATAGAAAAGCCTCAAGAAGAAAATAGAAACGATTTATAAACACACCACCCAGAGACGATCATTACCATTCTGGTTCCTCTTCCCACCGGTGATTTTTCTATTTATGGACATTTCTTTAAATGAAATTAGGTGACAAAACCTGCTATAAATGTGCTTCTACTCCACGAGTTCACGATGTAGCTCCCTACCCCACGCCGCACCAGTGCGGCCCATGCCGCACCCTCCACCACTCGCTCCAGCTGTGCCCTGCTGCTGAGTGCGCAGGTGCCCATCATTTGGCGTCAGCATCACAGTGAGGATTCCCTTGTGCATGAACCCCAGTGTCACATATGGGGACCGGGAACGACCCTCAGGAGCAGCGGGAGGGTGCTGCCAAGGCCACGGCGGTGCCCGAGGCCCTCTGTGCCCGCGACGCCCAGACTCACCTTGATGTGCTCGTGCAGCTGGGCTTCGTGCTGCCGCGAGAGCTGCTCGTGCTGCCGCTGGAACTCGGCGATGAGGAGCTGCCTCTGGATCTGCTGCTTCTGCTTGAGCGCCAGGAGCTCCTGCTGCAGCTGCTGCTCCCGGAGGGCGGGCTCCGCCACGGGCAGCGAGAACGGGTGGTCCAGGCGCAGGTCCATGGGCACTGCCGAGGGGGCCACTTGCAGGGGCAGCGCCGTGGCCACATCCACTGCAGGGAGAGCAAGCACAGGAGAGCCGGTCACTGCCGCCCGCACCGACCCGCGAGCCCATGGGCTGGAGGACGTTTGACGTCTGGACACGTCCCCCCCTCACCCAACAGGCTCAAAACTCAAGACTCAGAGGCTCCGGAGGGCTCCGTTCCTGAAGCGGGAAAAATCACAAAAACCAACGGAAGGTCAGACCAGGACACACTCCACAAACCCTCTTCCCTCCTGCCCACCCTCCCGAAGGGGAGGCTTGCCCTCTCAAAGGACCTGCGACAGGCCCAAAGGCCTTCTGACGTCATTACTCAATGTCAATAAAGGGAAAAATAAAGAAGGCAGCTCCAGCTTGCCAAGGAAAAGCGCTAAGCGCCAGTCTCTGCGAGGCCAGCCAGCCCGCCTGCTCCCCTCTCTCCTTCACCGAGGCCACGGAGAGCTGCGTGTGTGAACCGCAAGAACAGTGTGTGCCCCAGAGGGGTCCAGACAGGGGCTGGGACCGGGAGCCAGTTTCCATGGCGAGGAGAGTGCCCCCTGGCAAACGTGCTTACGCGGCCACAGCCAATGAGACGTGCTCTGCTCTCAGCACAAGTGCGTGCATCGGGGCGTGCGCGTCTGCACTCCACACAGAAATGAGTTTCTACGTTGTACTCGTGGACTACCGAAAACATTCTACAAGTGATTTTGATTAGAAACAGAGCTAGATCAATCTTAATCCCCACAAGTCAATACCGAATTAAAGCGAGAAAAGTAATGCAGAAAGAAAGGTAAGTTTTAGATTACAAATACCACGACCAATCTGATGTGTGCGCTCTTTTTACGACAGGTTTACGCTGTGAGGAGCGCGGGTGTGCGCAGGCACTCACTCCGAGCCACAGTCGCTCCGAGCACCGCCCAGTGCCACTCCAGTGGCACCTGTCAAACAGGAGGCTCTGCTGACACCATCACGAGGTGTCCAGGTGAGCCCAGGAGCTGCTGGCCTCCCACAGGCTCCCTCTGGGAGGTCCCCCGGCAGCCTCCTCCCCAAGCTCTGCAGGCCCCACTTCATTTCTTCACCACCTATCGTGCATGGGTGGAGTCCAGGAAGGGGCGGGGCCAGGAAAGGGGGTGGGGCCCAGGGAAGGAGGCGGGGCATGGGGAAGGAGGTGGGCTTCCCCTCCAGCAGGGACTCAGGCTCAGCGGAGAGCCTGGACCAACAAATGAGGGCCACTGAGAAGCCCAGGTCCTCACTCCCAGGCCGAGCACTGTATGTGCTTGACTTTGTCCTGGTGCCTCCCTGAGTGGCCCACCTGAGTGCCCCAAGATGTGACCCCTCCCAGGGACCTTTCCTTCCCAGAAGCTGGATGGCCTAAGACCAGGTCCCAGCCATAACCCAGTTCCTAGGAAAAACTGCACCCCACAGTCTCAGAGCCCACCAATCCCGGATAGGCCCATGGCCCGTAAGTGGCAACTGCCTCTCGGCACAAAGCATTCCCCACGCCAGGGGGAGGCCCTGGTCCCGGGACTTGGCCTTCTTCTGACAAGGCAGCGGTGGGCAATGCTGCCTGGAGGCCACCGGCTCTGGCGGAAGCTCTGGGTTCTGTTCCCCGGGCTACTGCTCAGCCACTGGGCACTGGGGTCGGTCACCTGAACTCTCTCAGCCTTGGTGTCCTTGACTAAAAGGTGGTCACCTTGCCTGCAGGGCATGGCACAGTCCAGATGGTGCGCAGGATGGAGGGCACCCTGGGGTTCCGCTGCTGAAATTACCGTCTTCCCCGCCATCAGTGCCCGCAGCCAACCCCTGGTCCCACGGAGTCACCCTCTCGGGCTGGGCGGACAGAGGCCAGAGCCTGGCGTGGCTGAACCTGAGGCCTGCCTGGGCTGGGCCACAGTGAGCAGCTCAGGACACTTTCCTGGACCGTGAAAGATAAAACCACCCGAGACACGACTGGGAAATACTCAATAGTCGAGCACCGGATACCAGTCGACAGCTTCTCTTCCGCTTCTTCTCCCAGATCGGTGAAGCGCAACCCCAGCTTTTTAAATTATGTTTTTTTAATTGGGTGTCGGGCTTGACATATCAAAAGCTTTTCATTTGATATCATGTGAGAAGACTCTATAGACGTAAACTGCGGGTGGTCCATCCCGCCCCCCCACATGTAGGGGAAGGCTGGGTCTTATCCATTTCCTCTTTCCTTTTTGATTATTTTTATGGTAAAACACCCACAGCAAAATGGAAAAATTGTGTAGGCAAACGCTGGTTTTATAAAACACTGACGTTTGCCCACATTGCTGCGACTGCTAAGGAGTAACACACAGGCAGGGAGGACGGCTGCACCCGCTAACTCAGA